TAAAAAATGTGTTATTAACAAATGATCAAATATGTCATATGCTTTTGATATATCGAAAGACTATTTCCTGTGAATATCTTTCCTTTTAAACTGTTGATCAATAGTGGTATCCTTCTAAATTAATGCTTCATAGATCATCGGTTCTTGTCCTATAATCTCTGTTGCATCAATTTTAAAATTAAGGTCCCTCTAATAGGTCCTATAAGATACATCACTTCGATCTTGTTCTTCTTTAAGGAGAGTCTCATATCTAGTAACTTTATAAATTAATTCTACTAGATCTCGAAACTCTATTGAGTCAAATTTCTTTCGAAGCCTAAATTCTAGCCCATTTTGAGCCAATCTTACAAATTCAGGTTTAGACAGCATGACCCTACATTTGTTTAGTGCCCTTTTGAATATGGCAACGAATTGAACAGCCTTCTCATTAAGCCTTTAGCTCAACCTTGTCAAGTCTGCCATAGATACTTCAGGCTCTGTTTGGAAAAACTGGGCATAAAAGACCTCTTCCATCTATTGCCAAGTCTGGATAGAACCAGGTGTAAGATTCGTATACCATAAAAAAGCTGCCCCAGTTACAGAGTTTCGAAGAAGTCTTAGTTTCATGTAATCATTATTGGTAAATTCACCACATTGGCCTGTAAACCTGGCAATGTGCTCAACAGTTGATTGGTTTCCATTTCCATAAAAGAGGGCAAATTTTGGAATCCTAAATCCCCTTGGGTATTCATGTAGCCTATCTACCTATTTTGGGTAAGGCTTTCTATAAACAGGAGTCTGGACCTTCCAAGCCATGGGTCCACAGATTTCTCTCACAATATCAGCAACTTGGTCCCTGGGTATCATATTTTGTACTGGTTGGGCCATCATTGGAGGAACAAACACAGGGTTTGGAGGAACTCTTTGTGCTTGAGGCCCTCTTGGCCTATGCATGGGTGCATTTGGGACTGGTTGCCCTTGTTGATGTTGAGGGTATGGCTACCCCCTTAGAACAGGCATTTGTCCTATAAAAGGTGCTGCAAAAGGGGCTACTGGAAGAGGAACATGTGTTGTTTCTCTTCCAACTGTAGGAATTCCCTCCAACCCCCTAGGTGTAAGTTCAAACACAGGGTTGGTATACGCACGGGCACCAGGTATGGGTTCAAATAATGGATTTGGAGTCAATCGAATACCATTTCCTAGTGTGGTTTCGCTGGTAGGCAAAGGTGTAACCTGGCTCACTAATGGCCTGGGAGGGGCTTCAAACCATGATTGAGGCATAGGTGATGATCTCTCAGGATGGCCACTAGTTTGCCCACTATGTTGTCCGTTACTTTGCATAGCCTGTTTGTCTCGAGCCAATCTTTGTTGTAGTAAGTTTATATTTTCCTCAACCTGTCTTATAATAGGCGGTTGGTAGGAGTGCATGTGATCCAAAAAGGATACTGCCCACATTTCCATTGTATGCATTAGTTGCTGTCCTATAACATCAACCAATCCTTCCCATGGGTTTACTGGTTGGGGAAGTGGAACAATTGAAGGTCTAGTTTCATAGCCTTGTCTAACACTTTGGACATGTGTTACATACCTTGAGACAGGCACATCCAAGGGATGCGATGTTACATTATCCTCTAAGTTCTATATTTCTAAATATCCCTCTATACCTTCTTCGAGGCATTCATTTTCTCCTTGTCTCCTACGTCTAACCATTATAATTTCAAGTCCCACTGGGCGTGCCAAAAATATATGTTGACTTTTTTGGCCTTCGAAGGTTAATAATGTAATTCGAGCATGCCAACAAGGATCAATAAGTCCTTACAAAGATTAATAAATGCCAACCAATTAACCAGACAACTACTTCGAAGTTCTTTTAGCCTCAATGAAAAGGACTTTTACTGGTGCCTTATTTAGGAGAAACTTAGAAGATCTTAATTACAGAAGTAAAAGAATGAGGGAGAAATGATATCAGAAATCAAATTTCATTAAGTAAACAAGAGCTTACAATAGTACCTTCTCACTTTCACAACTTCAAAGGGGATTACAATAGCAGACTAATTTAGAATTACTCCTAGGAATTTAAAGTGCAATATAAGAATGTAAAGACTGGAATTTAAAGGACTGGAAAGTATAAAGGATAGGAAAATATAAAGAAAAATCAACTGATTTCTAAATCTAGTTCTGGGGGGAGGGGGGCCTCCATTATCAGCATTCTCCTCTATTTATAGACTCTGAAAATAACCGTCAAAGTGGCTAATAACCGTCGAAATGATCTCCATGATCACTGAGTATGGCCCTAAACAGTTTGCTCCCACTATTCCACTCTCACGGTTGGGCTTCTCTCCTGAATTTGAATTTGAATTGTAAGCAACCGTTTGTCCACGTCATCTTGTGAGTCTTGACTGTTCCCATGTCTCACTGACACATTGTCACTGCTACAAGCTACCATGTGTTTGTTGATGATTGGAGACTTTTACTGATTTCCCAAATTATCCCTTATGGTCCACGCGTCAGGCTGTGACAGGCTTATGCAAAATATATAGCCAACAATATTATTATATTATATATTACACATACGTTCAGCTAGGTATATTTATGCCAGTAACCACCAACTTGCCACCAAGACCACAAGTGAATTAATAAACGTCACAATCAACACATTCTTATCTCCATTATAAATTTCACAATCAAAACATTCTCATCTCCACAAGTAACATAGCAAATGGGTAAACCAATCATTGTTGTGACGACCCCATCACGTATAAGCATTTAATTAATTAAGGAGATTTGAATTTAATTGCTCATTATTCTAATTTAATTTGGGATTTATGAAAATTTCAAAGGCTGATTCGTATATAATTTTATTGAGAATTTAATTTGGAATTAGAAATTGAAAGCTTAGATGGCTCAAGAGAGTATAATTGGTGGATTGAATTATTTTAATTTCGAGTATCGGACCATATGAGAGTTTAATTGAATATTCGATTCAGTTTAGAAAGATTAAGATTTAATCAATTGGGCCCGAATTGGAGTTAATTAAGTTATGAGAATTAAGAATTACGATTATTATGAATTAAATTTAATTATGAGGTGTTCAATTGAATATGTAATTTATTGACGAAAATTTTGAAGTTTAATCTGAAATTGAAAGCCTCAATGATTTAAGGAACCAAAATTTAGGATGGAAATAAGTTTAATTTAATATTTGGAGCCTTTTGAGAACTTGATTAAAAATCTGATTCAGAATGATAAATTTAAATATAATTAATTGGGTTCTAATGGAAGTCATATTAGACTAATTAAATTATATGCATTACATGTTAAAATTGAGTCATACATGAATCTAAATTTGAAATGAAATTTGGATGCTAAATCTTCAGTTTTGGAACTCAGGAAATTTACAGGCCACTTGAGTGACCAATTGGTGGTTCAAGCAAACATTACAAGCTTCCAGTACTTTTGCAGTCTTTTACAGACAGCTAGAGCGACTAAAGGTCCACTCAAGCAAACAACTATTTTCAGCATATTTTGAAAAATTGCAATTAATTCATATTTTCATTCTTATCTCTTCCCAAAGCATTCTAGACATGATTTATGACTCAATAAAGATTAATAAGCTAACAATCAACATAACTTAGTTGGTTAAGGAATAAGTCATTGATTTAATAATAATTGATTAAGATGCCAAGTAAGAAATCGGTCTATTGAAAAATAACTTAGTAATAAAAGAATATGTGAAATAAGAATCTGGTTTATTTGAATAAGAAAGAATAAGCGTAGTAGAATTTTGGGACTACTTAAACAGAAAAAGATAAGAAAAGTCAAATTTGATCAAGGAATTGATATTGTGTTTCATTGTGTACATGTTATGTGTTTGTGTAGGTCACGCGCTATCGTCTGCCTGATTTATTTGATCTGTCCAATCTGTCTAATTTGCTTCTGCAGCTATCTGTGAGTAGTAACTTTGTAAAGCTATGTTTAATTATAAGTATTTTCTGACTGATATAATACGATCTATTTTCTGAAATGCTATTTTATGAATCATGAATGAATGTCCATTTTTCTTAAATGTATTTGTGGCATCCTTAGTTCACGTGGCCCTCGCTCGGGGATAACAATACCATGGCTTATATTCATGTGGTCCTTGCCCTGGGGTAACAATATCGAGGCCTATATTCATGTGGCCCTCGCCTAGCGATAACAATACCATGGCTACTTGCGCACAAGAGATGGACCTTTATGGTCGTCAGTACCGACTATACATGTGGGTCTCAAGACCAAGTTGATATGATAGCTAATGAGTGTACCATGTATGGTCTTATGCAAAATCTAAATATGAATATGTATATGAATCTGTTTCTGACTTGAAATCTAAATATGCGGAAGACTCTATTTCTGATAAGAATCTGTTTTTGATATAAATTCTGATTTCTAACTCTGTGATGGACATCATTCATTAAACCTTTTACTTTGTTATTATTCACTGGGCTCCAGCTCACTGTATTAATTATATATGTAGGTGATCAGGCGCGTGACCAGGCTTAGAGGCGTCTGCCTAGAATTTGTTTTTGTCAGCCAACCTATGTGTCTCCCGTGGAGGTTCCGGATATGTCAAGTAGTTATGGCTATGTGATTAAAGTTCAAGTTTTGTTTTTTTGTTTGTTTAAACAAGTCTTTGTTTATTTTGTAAAGAGGATTAAGTCTCTTTTTATCCAATCTGTATATATATGAAGACGTAAGGATGATGTGTAGATATGTATATAAAAAGTTTAAAATTTTTCTGTCTCATATAAGTCTGCACAGCTCAATGGATGTTGGATATTTGTTATTTGCTTCCGCTAGCTCTTAATATTATGTTAATCTGTCTCAGAGGCCTTCGGTAATCATAGGATTACTGTTCGGTTATGATGCTAAACCCATAGGAGCAGGTTTGGGTCGTGGCAATTGCAAAATCCAAAGTTCATGCACTCCCATCAGGTTTCAGCATACAGGAAAAATAGTACTGAAAGGGTTATGTAAGATGCTTAATACCCTTCCCTACTTGTAACAAGGAACCCTGAACTCATATCTGATTCACAAAGATTATTAACGTAAACCATTAAAGTAAAAAACCCTCACATTGGTAAATAGAAAACATAAAAGTATTGGCCCCACTAATAATCTATTTTTCAAGTTGCCAAACACACCCAAACTTTATATGTTAGGTGGCGACTTATAGCAAATCTTTGAAGGATCTAAATGAAGTAATAAAATTAAACAATATTTCAAACGTCGCTATTAAAAATTCAAATTTTCTTAAATAATTATTAAAAATGAAAATTCAGATGCGACAACTACGTCCCATGATTTTTTTCTCGTTGGAGTTTCCACATTAAAAGAATGTGCTTGATTTATTTTATTTTTTATGCTTGCAATTTAAATTGTGATTAAAATTTTAATCAACCCAACAACACCAAAGAAAATTCATATAAACGAATTAACATTTTTTTCAATTGAAACCTGAGCATACCAACAAAATTTCAAATGTAATTACGGAATCAGAATATCCCAAAGAACTTTGCGCCGTTACTTGAGAATGAAATTGGCAATATATTTAGGGCATGTTTGATTGAGTGGATTAAAGTATGAGATTGGGATTATTAATCTATGGGCCCAATTATCCTATGTTTGTTTTAACATTTTAGTTTAGAATTATTAATTCAATGAATAATTAATCCAACAAATTTGTAAGATTATTAATAATGAGGTAGGAGTGGGATTATTAATCCAATGAATATTAATTCAATTAAATAGTGAATATTATACTAATTTAATAAGATTATTAATACTTCACTATTAATTTTGTAAATCAAACATGACATTAGGATATACTGAGGCGGTGGTGTTTGGGAAGTGATTTGAGGAGCAAAATAATCCAAGAATTGAAAAAAAGTAAAAAGACATATGCAAACAAAAAGAAGTGCGACAGGTCTACAGCTGGCCCACACTGCCCCGGTACGTGGAAAGACGATTTTGGCTTGGAAAAATGCTCCCGACCTCTAAACATTGACCACTAAATTACCACTAATGACGTGGCTGCCTACGTGGAAAACGGATGCAAACTCGCCCGTTTCTCCCTCTTTCTTATTCATTTCAAATTTCAAATTCATTTTCATTTCAAACTCTCTCCATTCTTCCTTCTCTTCACTGTTGTGCCTCTCCTTGGCGACCTCCCCGACGAGCGAAGCTCTGCAACACCGGCGACCCGGCTCTCCAACCTTTTCGCCATCGTGGTAGAATGTATTTATGTGGAACCTCATTTATGCATCTTGCAATGAGCACAACGAGTGAGTGAGCACACATGATGCCCCTAAATTCAAACAACCGGCACATACATTGCACATCAAATTCGGTCGAATTATAATAGACAACAAAGTCCACATGCTTCATCTTCCCAAAAAGTACCATAGCTTCCTTTACAAAATATGTACAAATTGAACCCTCTTCTTTGACCATAAACGGCTGACAATAAACCAGTCTCTTCATCTCTGCTTGAACTTCTTTGAATTTTGCATTGGTGTAGCCATCCTGAAATTGCTTCTCAAAGCCATACACAGTTAGGAAATCAAAGACTTTGTGCCGAGACTTGAAGTCAACTTTCTTCTCTTTCTCTACCTTACTTCTCAAGGCATTGTCATATTGTTCAACAAATTGTTTTAATGTAGCCTTTGGCTTGACATATCCATCAAAAAATGCATTCATACTCTCACTTCGTTGTGTCGTTGACATGCCAGCCCAAAAAATATCTTTGACATAAACAGGAACCCATCGCTGTCGCTCATCATATAACACCCCCAACCATCGATTCTCATAAAGATTGAATTTTTCAATCATCTCTTTCCATTTCATCTCGAATTCATCTTTTGTGAATGTGTCATACACTGCATTTTGCAAATCCATCTTCATGGATTCATATTGGGAATACCCTTTCAATTTCTCCGGAATTTTCTTCATGATATGCCATAAACACCATCGATGTCGAGTATTGGGGAAGACAATTTCTATCGCATTTTGCATAGCTTTGCACTGATCAGTTATTATAGCTTTTGGGGGATGATCTGACATGCAATTTAACCATGATTTGAACAGCCAAACAAATGTATCAGTGTCTTCACTAGATAACAGTCCACAACCAAGCAAAATCGACTGTCCATGGTGGTTAACTCCTACAAACGGAGCAAATGGCATATCATATTTATTAGTGAGGTAAGTTGTGTCAAATGAAACAACATCTCCAAATTCTTTGTAAGCCGCCCGACTCATTGCGTCCGCTCAAAACAAGTTTCTTATGCGAAAGTCAGTATCAACATCAATCATATAATAGAAACTCGAATTTTGTGCATGCATCCTCAAAAAATATTTTTGAAGTGCATCGGAATCTCCTGCTCCAAGCCTTAATTTTCTAGCTCTGTCAATGTAATTTCGTGCATCTCGCTCATCAAATGTTAATGACTCATAACCCCCAGCTTCAACAACCATTGAGTGATAATTTCTAGACACCCCAATCCCTGCTTGATCATTAATTTCTAATCTTCTCTTCACAGGAGTAAGAATCTTCTTATTCATTGCAAAATGACGTGAGTCAGTGGGAATCAAGTCATGGTTATGGTCAAGGTTAACTGTGGTTAACATAAATCTCCCATCCATTTGTAAGGTTGCCCGTACCCTTGCTTTACAATCAATTTTTGTAGACAAAGATGGCTTTAGAGGGTTTACTTCTGATTTTTTGATTCTCTTTCCCGATCGAGAACATTCAATCCCAAAATATCTTAATTCCCCATCATCGCCACAAACTTGAGTTTTATAAGCTATGGAAAATCCAACATGTTTAGCATATTTGGCATAAATGAATGCACTTCTTGCTTTGAGCTAAAACACATACCCCTCTTCGGTTCCTCAACTTCTTCACTCTCATTTAATAAAGGATTCTCAGAGGGTTTTTGGTTTTTGTCTTAGAGCCAAGCCAAAAATAGAACCAAGCTAAGAATTTATAGAATAATAGATTAATAGAATAATCTGTTATAGTCTCTGTTATACTTACACATATACACACAGATTAACAATGCAAGCTCTTGAATAAATTATAACATATTACCCTTTCAAGAGACTATAACAGATTATAACAATTTCTGACAATGCAAGTTACCAGATTAACCCAAAATCTGTCCAAAATTAGATTAACGTAAGAGCTTCAAATTCTAACAATTACCAGATTAACAGATTAACCCAAAATCTAACAATTTCTAACAATGCAAATTACCAGATTAACCCAAAATCTGTCCAAAATAAGATTAACAATTTATAACAATTTAACAGATTTGGACTGTCATATTAACAGAAATGGAGGAGAGGGAGAGATCTGCATTTCTGTTCATTCAATGTATGTTATATTAACAATTATTAACAATTCATTGTTAATATTAACAATGATCTGTCATATTATAATCTGCATTTCTTCTCCTCTGTTAAATTGTTATAAATCTGTCATATTATAATCTGCATTTCTTCTCCTCTGTTATATTAACAATGATCTGTCATATTATAATCTGCATTTCTTCTCCTCTGTTATATTAACAATGATCTGTCATATTATAATCTGCATTTCTTCTCCTCTGTTATATTAACAATGATCTGTCATATTATAATCTGCATTTCTTCTCCATATATATATATATATATATATGTATGTTATAATCTGATATATATATATATATATATATGTATGTTATAATCTGATATATATATATATATATATATGTATGTTTAACAGATTATAAAAATTTCTTCAATGTATGTTTATATATATATATTTCATTACAGAATACAACTACAATTTAAATGGTGGAGGAGAGGGACGACAACCGGACAGAAATTGACCTGAACGAAGGAGAGGGAGAGATCTGCAAATGCTTGACCAAGAGAGGGAAGACAGAGAGGGACACGAAATCTGCAAACGGAGATAGCAAATGAACGCTTGATGGTGGAGGAGAGGGACGGCGGTGGAAATCCCGTTACAATTTACACGGTGGAGGAGAGGGACGCCGATCACAGCTTCAACGGGAATAGAGTTGAAACACGATTTCTTCTCCTCTGTTATCAGATTTTTGAGCGGGAAATTTTTTTTTTTTTCCTAATCACAGTGCGTGTGATATGAAAGTGTCATTTTTCCTCCCTTCTTAGATGCCACGTAATTAGAGCTGCTCCTAGTGCTCAAGTTTTAGTGGTATGAATCGGAGCTGTTAATGAAATCAAAAGAGAGAGATGACACCCACCCAAAAAAGAGAGAGATGATGACGTAGTCAGGTAGTCAGGGCACGCCTCCACGCTCATTTTAGCAGATGTCAATGAACCATCTAGTGTGTACTCGTACATACATGTACCTCGTTTGAGAAAGTAATGTTTTATTTTAAAAATTTATTGTAAAAATTATTTTATTTATATATTTTTATACATATTTATTGAGACAAAATGGCTAATCATACATCTACTGCACTGAAATTGAAGGGAAAAAAAATTAGATTAAGGCCTCGTTTGGCAAGAGGTTATTTTAGTTAATTAGTCAAAAAGCTAACAATCCATACCAAAAAGTCAAAGATTCTCTTTTCTCTCTACTTTTTGCACATCTTTTCGTAATTAGCCAAAAAGTCATCCCAAACATACAAGTTTTTTTTACCTACCTTTTTGGCCAAATAGCCAAAAAGTTACTAAATTAGCTTGTTCCCAAACGAGGCCTAAATATTTTAATTAACAAAAATTATATGTCTAGTGTATTCCCAAACGAGGCCTAAATATTTTAATTAACAAAAATTATATGTCTAGTGTATTAAAAATGCTCTTAAGAGGATTCTTATTTTAAGCTATAAATAGAACTTTTAACAAATATTTTGTTACAAAATTTTAAAATTCAAAAAAAAAAAAAAAAAAAAAAAAAGAAAAAAAAAAAAAAAAAACTAAGTTTGTTTTAAACTCAACAAATGAAGTGAATATTAAACAGAATTTTTACCAAATATTTTGATATAAATTTTTAAAATTAAAAAAAAAAACAAAACTATCTGGTTGGTAACGTTTACGTTTTCAGTTTATATTTATAAAAATTTTATAAATTGATTTTTGTTTATTTTTTGTTTATTTTTAGAAATATATAAACTACAAATGCGTTTGGTAATTGACAAAATATTTTAAAAAATTTAAAAATATAAAAAAGAGTGAGAAATGGCAAGTGGCGGCGGAAGACGGTGGTGGAAAGTAGTGACGGTGGGTGGTGGGTAGCTGGTGATGGTGGGTGGTAGCGAGTGGGTGGTAGTGGGTGGGTGGGTGACGGTGGCGGGTGGTGAGTGGTGGCGAGTGGGTGGTAGTGGCAGGTGGGGATGGTAGATGGGTGGGTGACGATGGCGAGTGGGTGGTGGTGGCAGGTGGTGATGGTAGATGGGTGGGTGACGATGGCGAGTGGGTGGTGGTGGCAGGTGGTGATGGTAGATGGGTGGGTGACGATGGCGAGTGGGTGGTGGTGGCAGGTGGTGATGGTAGATGGGTGGGTGACGATGGCGAGTGGGTGGTGGTGGCAGGTGGTGATGGTAGATGGGTGGGTGACGATGGCGAGTGGGTGGTGGTGGCAGGTGGTGATGGTAGATGGGTGGGTGACGATGGCGAGTGGGTGGTGGTGGCAGGTGGTGATGGTAGATGGGTGGGTGACGATGGCGAGTGGGTGGTGGTGGCAGGTGGTGATGGTAGATGGGTGGGTGACGATGGCGAGTGGGTGGTGGTGGCAGGTGGTGATGGTAGATGGGTGGGTGACGATGGCGAGTGGGTGGTGGTGGCAGGTGGTGATGGTAGATGGGTGGGTGACGATGGCGAGTGGGTGGTGGTGGCAGGTGGTGATGGTAGATGGGTGGGTGACGATGGCGAGTGGGTGGTGGTGGCAGGTGGTGATGGTAGATGGGTGGGTGACGATGGCGAGTGGGTGGTGGTGGCAGGTGGTGATGGTAGATGGGTGGGTGACGATGGCGAGTGGGTGGTGGTGGCAGGTGGTGATGGTAGATGGGTGGGTGACGATGGCGAGTGGGTGGTGGTGGCAGGTGGTGATGGTAGATGGGTGGGTGACGATGGCGAGTGGGTGGTGGTGGCAGGTGGTGATGGTAGATGGGTGGGTGACGATGGCGAGTGGGTGGTGGTGGCAGGTGGTGATGGTAGATGGGTGGGTGACGATGGCGAGTGGGTGGTGGTGGCAGGTGGTGATGGTAGATGGGTGGGTGACGATGGCGAGTGGGTGGTGGTGGCAGGTGGTGATGGTAGATGGGTGGGTGACGATGGCGAGTGGGTGGTGGTGGCAGGTGGTGATGGTAGATGGGTGGGTGACGATGGCGAGTGGGTGGTGGTGGCAGGTGGTGATGGTAGATGGGTGGGTGACGATGGCGAGTGGGTGGTGGTGGCAGGTGGTGATGGTAGATGGGTGGGTGACGATGGCGAGTGGGTGGTGGTGGCAGGTGGTGATGGTAGATGGGTGGGTGACGATGGCGAGTGGGTGGTGGTGGCAGGTGGTGATGGTAGATGGGTGGGTGACGATGGCGAGTGGGTGGTGGTGGCAGGTGGTGATGGTAGATGGGTGGGTGACGATGGCGAGTGGGTGGTGGTGGCAGGTGGTGATGGTAGATGGGTGGGTGACGATGGCGAGTGGGTGGTGGTGGCAGGTGGTGATGGTAGATGGGTGGGTGACGATGGCGAGTGGGTGGTGGTGGCAGGTGGTGATGGTAGATGGGTGGGTGACGATGGCGAGTGGGTGGTGGTGGCAGGTGGTGATGGTAGATGGGTGGGTGACGATGGCGAGTGGGTGGTGGTGGCAGGTGGTGATGGTAGATGGGTGGGTGACGATGGCGAGTGGGTGGTGGTGGCAGGTGGTGATGGTAGATGGGTGGGTGACGATGGCGAGTGGGTGGTGGTGGCAGGTGGTGATGGTAGATGGGTGGGTGACGATGGCGAGTGGGTGGTGGTGGCAGGTGGTGATGGTAGATGGGTGGGTGACGATGGCGAGTGGGTGGTGGTGGCAGGTGGTGATGGTAGATGGGTGGGTGACGATGGCGAGTGGGTGGTGGTGGCAGGTGGTGATGGTAGATGGGTGGGTGACGATGGCGAGTGGGTGGTGGTGGCAGGTGGTGATGGTAGATGGGTGGGTGACGATGGCGAGTGGGTGGTGGTGGCAGGTGGTGATGGTAGATGGGTGGGTGACGATGGCGAGTGGGTGGTGGTGGCAGGTGGTGATGGTAGAT